CAGTTAGGTCTTCCATGCGCTCATCCACCCCATCCTTACAATGTGTGTCCTTTCTGTCGTCAAGGACAGCCTCATTCTTGAGCTTTTTCTTGCCCTTTCCTTTGCCCTCTTCCTCATTCTACACTCCGTATTTTCCCTCTTCCATTCTTTGTTTGTCCTCTCTCTGTCTCTTTTCCCTGTGTTTAACACCTTCCCCTTCACTCTGCCTCTCTCACAGCATGCAAGTGGGCTGTAAAGGCATACGGGGATGGGGGAAGCTCGCGCCCAACTTCATCAACGTGGCGAGCCTTGCACGTGAGAGGCACAGTGGAGGTGGAGTTCAAAGAAGAATGAGAAATTTAATGGTTTCAATCTGCCCTTGCTTTTTGTTTTTGTTTTTGTTTTTATTTTTGCAATGTGCCCGTTTTTTGTTTTTATTCTTTGTTTCGCAAAGTGCGCTCTTTTAGTTTGTAGTTATGTGACAATATATGTATATATATTCACAGCCCCTTGTTTGTTGTCCTCTTCTCCCTCTCTGCCTACGGTTTACAGGACAGCTCTGTTTGACTATACATTCTATGTGACAATATATACGCACCTCTGTATGACAACATACATATATATCGTCAAAAACCGTAGGCAGAGAGGTAGAAGAGGACAACAAACGAGGGGCTGTGAGATAATTGGTCTCTATCGGTCTCTCTCTCTCTTGATTCTCCACCTTTCGATTCGCAATTAGTCGACGCGCTGATGTACGGAGCGCATCTGTACACATTCGTCGTGAACATTGAAGCTGGAGAGCGCGATCTCGGAAAAGGTGCAAGCAAAATCCGTTTGTGTCTACAACGGAAATGGTGCCGCTGGACGCACCGGGACAGAAATGAACAGTAAGAATGGCCAAGGAACAAAAAAAACAGCCCCACAGTCAGATCCTCTTGTGAAAGTGCTGGCTTGAAGGTGCCCCAGGATTATACCCACATCAGACCACTATGTACTTGTATTCAAACATTCACGAAGAATCTTCGAGCCACGATTCGATGCGATCCGAGCCGCTTACCTGTGCATCACGAAACTGAGCAAAACAAAACACCTATCTGAAGAAACCAGGGAACCTGCGGACCTCAGGAAATGTCTTTTGCTGGGCCCATTGGGAAGCATTTTCCGGGGTACGGCTTATGATTTAAGCATTTAGTAGAAATAGGCCGTGAAGCGGCGTTAGCAGTCAACACTGCACCAGTCCATTTACATTTCGTTTCACGTACGTTCCCGAATTCCGCTATCACCAAATGAAGTACAAACAGGCCACGAGGCGGCGGTACCTGTCAATGCTGCACGCGTCCACTTGCATTTCATTTCACTTGGAGTCATCCATCCGGCGTTTTCCATTCCTCATGTCCATATCCGCAATGGTGCAGCATATATATTCCGATACTTGTTGTTGATCAAGGAGAAAGGATACATTGAAGACAGGGTTGGTAACCAGAGACAACTCCCGCCTAGGGGGAATTTAATATTGGATCTATTGATTCCTGTGAGGGTAATTGGATTTGCTTTGACTGCCGAACCAGTGAGATGCAGGGAGAGATAATGAGAGAGGGAAAGGAAGAAGGGAGGAAGGGACGGAGGGATCAAGGATCATAAGAGAGGGAAAGGAAGAAGGGGGAATTGGATTTGCTTTGACTGCCAAACCAGTGAGATGCAAGGCTGTCACAAAGAGCCAAGAGATCCAAACAAAAATCCAAAAGCATAATGATGCACAACACAGGGGGAGGGAGGAAGGGATTGAGGGAAGGCAGGGGAAGATATAAGAGAGAGAGAGAGAGAGAGAGAGAGAGAGAGAGAGAGAGAGAGAGAGAGAGAGAGAGAGAGAGGAGAGAGGGGGGGGGCATACACGGGCCTCTACAGGGCCCAATCAGTAGGACTAGAGGCTGGGACGAGGTCCTAGGGGTGTAGAGTCCGTTAGGGCCTGTTACCGGATCCATTTGAGGCCTAGGGACGGTTGGGGGGTCTGTTACGGGGTCCAGTTTAGGACCGGTGTCGTTTGGGGTCCAGTTAGGTCCAGTAGCAGTCTAGTGCAGGCCCTGGCACGTTCTCGTTTTGCCGCCAGGACTCTATTCGTTTCGGCACCGTTTTCAGTTAGGCACCAGACACATTCAGGCCCAAGCGGAGTTCGGAAATGGTTGGGTGCCAGTTGAGGCGCCAGTTGGAGGCCGGACCTCGTTCGGATCAGCACTATATATAGCTGGTCCATAGCTGGTCCTCCTCCAGTCTGGCACGAAGTCTTGAGTTGTATTCGAGTAGAGCATGGGCGTAGTCCACACAGCGCTGGGCTCTGCACTAGGATTAGTCTCGAGCTTCGGTGGCAGCATACTGCCACGGGAGTAGAGGAACAGCGTTCAGGTGGAGGCCAAGGGACTTACCTGATGCAATAGCTCCAGCTTCGTCTTCAGCATTTCCGTACCTGCGTTAAGGCACCACCTTTCTGCAGGTTAGTGTGTGTGTGTGTGTGTGTGTGTGTGCGTGTGTGTGTGTGTGTGTGACAGAGAGAGAGAGAGAGAGAGAGAGAGAGAGAGAGAGAGAGAGAGAGAGAGAGAGGATTTCTTCTCCGCCTGTCTCCATCGCTCGTCATCTTCTCGAGTACATGAGGGTTGAGAGTGAGACTTGTCACACTGTTCTTTGGATTGACCTTGGACAGAGACATTGTGGGCAGGGTTGTTTTGGCGCCTACCGCCTACGCCTACCGTAGGCGGTAGGCGCGCCTAGCAGTCGGGCCGACCCGTAGGCGGACCCGTCGGCGGTTGGCAGACTGCCTAATTTTTTTTAATTTTTTTGTCTGATTACATGGTCGTGTGCGGCTCGAGGAGAGCAGCCCAATCCCTGTCTCTTATACACATCTAGATGTGTATAAGAGACAGATATATATATATATCGTAACTTCGGGAAGAAGAAGGCAGTAGACACTGTGGGAAGGGTATTCGGCAATCAGCAAAAGTCAGATCGGCTGGTCGGCAGCCGACGGGTCCAGGGCCGCCGACCGTCGGTGTGACTACCCTGATTGTGGGGGACTATTGGTGGGGATTCCATGAGTGACATTTGAGTTGACGACATCTCCATATTTTCTCCTCTTCGTCTCATCCCCCTCCTCTTCATCTGTGGATGTTGTGCAGACCTGGCGCTCTTCGTCTGTGTGTCAGCGCCAGGTCCTCTCACCCTATATGAGGATGATCAGTGGTTTGTAGTCGGTCTGAGTCTTGATTGGTCAGATTCTGGTATTTCAGTCTTCCGCTGTGCTATCATTGCTCTATTTCTTTGAGGTTGGTTCGTGGTTCTGATCTGTGCCTTATAGGCATGAGAGAGAGAGAGAAAGAGAGAGAGAGAGAGAGAGAAACGAAAGGAGAGAAACTGCACCCCTCTTTTTTCACGTCGGCATCCTTGAATCCAGCAGCATTTGAACTGGTGGTCTGTTGATCAAAAGGTGTATGTGTGTGCCATACAGCCATGCTGAAAGGAGATAATTTATAAAGTGCTGTAAATTGCAACCAAATGGCAATGTCAGGTTTTCGATGATCCATTGGCATACGGTGTGAAAAAAAACACGCTACCCGTCAAAATGTGAAACTGATCAATGCATGTTGATCTGGATGTGATCCACAGGTTGTCTCTCAGTTCGGAAAAGAGGAGAAATGTGCGCTGCTGAAGTTTGTTACAAGTTGTTCGCGCCCACCTCTGTTGGGTTTCCAGCATCTGCAGCCGTCCTTCACCATTCACAAGGTAGGTCGGGACTCGGTGCCAAACCGCCTCAAATTGCCGTCTCATCACTCCCTCGAATCACTGATCTTTCTTGCTGTCATTCGGGAGAAGACGATTCCAAATCCTTCTGTTCTAATTGTTATACATTATCGTTAATGCTTCGATCAGGAATTGTCATTATCACAGTATCGTTAACGCTTTGATCAGGAATTGTAATTCTTTCTCTGTTGAGTGGAACTCTCTTTCTCTGTGCAGTGATGAATGTGAGCATTGGTTGGTGTAATAAACCATCTGTGCTTCGAGCAACGTTTGTGTGCTCTTCGTCTTTGCTGTGTTCGCCGAAGTTTTTTCTTTTTCTTTCTTTCCACTTCCCCTTTTAAAAGGGCGACAGCCTTCAGATATCATAAATGCACTGACCGGCCCAATGCAGTATTTCACTTATATGTTTAGAGTGGGGGATTCGAATTCAGGTCTGTATTTTGACAGTCCAGGGTCGGTTGGTGTGTTCGCTGAAGTTTATATCCTAAAAAGAATGAGTAATCTTCTGAACCACCACTTACCTCCTGGGAGATGAGGGGAACCTCTCCACACAGAATAAAAACCTGCTGCCGTTGGATTGTCTACTAAAGAGATTGTCATTTCATTTTCTTAAGTAGTCAAAAGCAGTGGTATTTCACTTGTGATATAAGGTTCCCACTCAAGTAATTCTGCACCTCTGAAGTCTTTACTAAGCGTCAAAGGACACCCAATGTCAGCAGAGTCTTCTTTTCTCAGCAAGTCTTCCAGGCCTGTTCCCCTGCATTGGCTGTGGTTTTCCAGGATGGCAGATAGGTACAGTGGGTTTCTTGCTCTACCAATTGCACGTTCTCAGTAATGTTGGGGATTCCTCTCACCAGATTGCTGACCCAAATACTGTCGTACGACAGATTCGCCGTCTTCCTCAGAACACAGTGCGTTATATTCAGGGGGAAACCGTAAAGATGGGAATGAAGTGAACACATTTAGACCATTGACACATCTAGACCATGGACACATTTAGACCAAGGACGCATTTAATTTTAGACCATGGACAGCCACTCGTTCGGATGAGGCAAATGGTTTGAACTCTTTGGGCTTACTTATGCTAGGACTTTCTGCAATGTACAGGATGGCAACGACAAGGACGCATTTAATTTTAGAGCATGGACAGCCACTCGTTCGGATGAGGCAAATGGTTTGAACTCTTTGGGCTTACTTATGCTAGGACTTTCTACAATGTACAGGATGGCAATGACTGCCAGTTTCAGTTGACAAGCCCTTTGTGATTGAATAGGTGTAGTGGCATGGTACTTGTGGTACCGTTCAGTTCTGCGTTTGGAACCAGGTGAAACCACCCGAAGCCCAATGACTTGGGTCAGTGTCCTATGCTTGTCTTGTTTTTTTTTCTTTTCTTTTTCTTTTTAGCATTTGTTTTGCAAAGTGCGCTGCCCCTCGTTTGTTGTCCTCTTCTCCGTCTCTGCCGACAGTTTACCGGGCAGTTCTGTTTGATGATATTTGTCGCAGTTTGGCGATTCTCATTATGGTCTGTGAGTGACTTCCACTTTAGGTAAGGGTGTGTAGATTAGCCCCGCCCTTTCCTCAAGCTTTCTGACAGTCGAGCAGGGAATCGTAAGTGAGAGTTATTGTGCCTTCAACTGCATTGAGCAGGTTATTGTGCGTCAGATGGTTGTGTCTAACAAGTTATGGCTCATCCTGGTTCGCGATTTGACTGAGCAGGTTCCTTGTGAAACTCCATCATTCTGGACTGTGATTGGTGGACCGGATGTTGACCGCCTTCCATCTGCTTCAACGTGCTACAACACTTTGAAGGTTGGTGTAGCCTCCGCACATACCAGTACTCTGTTTCTGACTGTTGCTTTGGTGTTTCGTGTTTTTGTATTTTGGGGGGGGTGGAGAAGAGAGGGACCCTAGCATTCCATTAGGTTGAAGGCCTTGCGAATAATTCCAGTCCTATAATTCCAATAGTTTTGACTTTTCTAAGGCCTTGTGAATCTTCTGTGCTGCCTTTTTTTTTTTTTTAATATATCCATATGTGTACAGGATTGTCCCTCCGTTCCTGACTGCAGGCACCCTCCTCATCCGGACACTATATGTCCATTTTGTGGCCACGGACGCTATGCTGAATGCATGCTCTTTTGTGGGGGGCGTTCTTCCTTTATTCTGGCCTGCAATA